AAACAATTAAGAAAAGTGAAAGGGAGAAAAAAAAAACATAAATCTTTAATGGCCCACAAAACAAAAAAAAAAAAAAAACAATTAAGAACGATCTTCCGCTAATCTCCTCCCATAAGAAAATAGGAATGGGTAGGTAGGTAGGTAGGTGGGTAGATGAAGGGTAGCTAGTTTCGGTAGAAAGGAAGGAAGGGATGGAGAATGTGGAATGACTGTTTCTCAAAACAGTTTTTATCTATGTTTTCCTTCTGTCTTTTTTTTTTTTTTTTCTTTCCTCATTTCAACGTCTTGCAAGGATAGAAGGTTTCGCCAACTTACCATATCGTGGTGTATAGGCACCAGGACCTGGCGGCCCACTACACTTAAGATCATTCCAATGATTTGAAACATTCATTCCTCGTCCACCACGAGAGGAGGCTGTGATATTGTTCAACATTTTATTTTTCTGTGCTTGCATGAGTTCCATATCCGTACTGAGGTAATAATGTCCCTTGTGATCCGCTATTGGTACAAAACGACGCTCTCGGCCAAATGTACACGCGCGGGGATTATCCTCTACTAGAAATGTCCCCATTACCAATGCGCTATCGCGTTCCCAACTCTTACGCATGGACTCCTTCATCTCACTAAAAACATTCTTCTTCATATTCCTCAAACGTTCCGCCTCAGATGGGATACGACTGCTATGGCTGTAGACTGAGCGGTCCACCGCACGTGATGAGTTGGCCCGCGTGAGCTGTGTGTTATTATGAGTGATAGAGTCTGCGGTAGTGGATCCGCAACTGCTGAGGAGTTTCTTCCGTTGTTCCTCTAGAGCGATTCGCCGCTGCTTGAGTGCCTCCAGTTCTTTTTGTATGCTCAGCAGCTGTGCGTCTGTTTCCCCCGATTCGAAGCCGTTTGGACTCTCTGTTCTCCTGCTCCCACTCTCCATTACCAGCCGATCAGTCTCAGGTTCACTACTATCTCCCCCTTTTTTTTTTTTTTGATTCTCCTCTTCCTTTTGTTCGATTTCAATGATGAAGTGGGAGAGAAAACAAATAATAAATACAAAAATAAGAAAAAAAAGAGAAACAAAATAAAATAAAAAGCAAAAAAAAAAAAAAAATAAGAAAATGGGGGAAAAAAAAATTAAAAAAAAAAAGATAATGGTATGTTTATGAGTGCTTCCTTCAAAGACCTTTGTAGCGGGAGGGTCGCACGAAGCTCTTTCAGCAACAAAAACTTTCGTGGAAATCCCCATTTTGGGTTGAGATGTTTCTCCAGTTCCAGGAGAATAATAATAATAAAAAGAAAAAAAAACAAGAGAAAGAGAAGGAGTTTAATTAGAATATATATATAAATATATATTTTCAACTCTTTTTTTTACTTGTTTCTTACTTCCCTTTACCATTTTTTTTTTTATCAATTATATAGTTCCTTGTGTATTGAAGGGAAAGGGGAGGAACGGTACAAAAAAAAAAAAAAGGAACCGAAGGAGCTCTTCACTAATTACCTGAAACTAAAGCGGTAAAAAGAAGCACACACACACACACACCTAAAAACTCTCCAAACAGTTTGCAAAAAAAAAAGTAACAAAAAAAAGTTGTTCAATAAAAAAAAAAGTGAACAAGCAATCTTTCGGTCCATTTTTGACTGTGTCCCCCTCCCCTCACTTTTTTTTTTCTTCTTTCCGATTTGTATATTATATGTTGTGGTTAATCATAAATGAAAAGACTACCCAAACCTTCAGTTTCTAATACTTTTTTTTTCGTACCTTTTTTTCTTTCCTCTCGTGGTATTTCATTTCTTTTTTTTTTTCTTGCTGTTGTTGCACATCTCTTTATCTTTTTCACCCCATCTGGAAGAAACATCCGCCCAAACATCAGAGAAAAAAAAAAAAAAATGAAAAGAACTAAATTCTCTGCCGCATTATTCCCCTTTTTCTTTTTTTTTTTTTGCTTTTTCTTTCTTACTTCCTTTTCTTCCTCTTCTTCTTCTGGTTATGTTACCAGAACGGTGCCCATCCTGTGATGTATGCCTCTGCGAGATTATCGAGACTTGTCGCCTCCTTAATGAGACGATCGACTTGATGCGGCACGTCGAGGCAGTTGTCGCCGCCCTTCACGTACCGCAGCGACAAGTACGTTGTCAGCACCGTCCCGCCGTTGCCGAAGGAGTCTTTGGGCGAGTTGCCGTAACTCTGCAGGCCCCACAGGGAGGCCTCGCCGGAGTCATCGCCCGTCTCGCGCTTGGAGCCCTGCAGGAGAAAACTCCCATTCGTCACGCCGAACTCCTCGCCGGTTAACTTCGCGCGGACGCGGGCGAGGGCCAAATCGCCCTGCATGTTGCGCGTCTCCTCTTCGTTCATTTGATCCACCGTCACGGCGGCCACCGGCTCGCGTACTTTCATCACCGAATACGACAACTGCATCTGCGGGTCCTCTGCAGTTTTCTCTGCGGGGGCAAGGACGTGATTATCACCCGTCTTGGCCTGGGACTCTACACGAGAAGAAGATCTATCGCCTTCTCCAACATTTGCTAATCGCCAATTAATAAGTGGATCATAAATAAAAGCTTCAAGAATAGATAATAAATTTTCACAGTGTCTACGAAGGTTTTTCATCACTAATTCACAAGTTAGACGGTACACACCATCTACTCCACTTATACCTAATGCTCTAACCAATAATCGTGTTAGTCGAAATGGTACTGCCTCAGCAAATTGAGCACGATGCATAGCTACTTCAAAACAATCACCAAAATCAATATGTACAACAGAACCTTTATCTTGTAACATCAAATTATTAAGGTGTCGATCACCAAGTCCTAAAACATAACCAACAATAGACATAATCGCTAATGTATGACCATAAGTCCCTCTGTATTGAAGCCATTGTTCACATGTGTCATTTTTATCCCAAATAATACTCTGTAACTCATCATCTGGTGTTTTATTCATAGCTTGACTTAATAAATGTTTCCTTTGTTGTTTGGCTTGACTATGATAATCTGCTATGTTTTGTAATCCTCCAAGTTTTACAATTAAGTTTACTTCTTCATAAATAGAGATACCATATTCTTTACGTCTCGTTTCTAACATTTTGTATATAGTTTCTGTATTTTCTACCCATCCAATAATACCAACATTATCTGTTAATGGAATTACAGCATATCGAGAAATAGCAAGACCAATTGCACTAGCTGAACTATCTGAAGAAAAAATGGTATTAATTAACTCAATAAATTGCATAACACGTTCATCTTGACGTAAATCTTCATGACCTTTTAAAAGGAAACGATATTTTCCTCCATCAGAAGCATCTAAACCAAATCTACGTGGTTTTTGTTTAGATGGCATTACTATTACACGTTGATGAAATTTTTGAATAGTAATAAGTTGTTGACCAAGTACAAAAGTTCCAGGTACGGCAACATTACTTTTACTAATACCACCAAGTGTTGGAGAAACATCCTCCATAAGAAGTCTTCGTTCACCTGTTGTTTTATTTAATTGAACATAAACTTGTTTTAAAAAACCCCATGCATGATCAAGATTTTTATTATTTAAAGCTACTTTGGCACGTTGTAATACTTGTCCATATGTTTTTGCAAAACTAGTTTCATTTGGTGTACTAGGATTCTCTAACTCTTCATATAAAGGGTTAAGTACACGTAAAATAGCATCTGCATCATTTACTGTAGATGCAGCTCGATGAATAGAACTAATCCATTTTTCTGACCATAAAATAGCGATACGAACCATTTCATTACTTATTAAAGATGCTTCTTTAACCATAGTATCATTAGAAACTCGAATTCCTTTAAGTACACGTTCTGCCATTAATCGTCTAATAGCTTCTGGTGATTTCTCTGTCACTGTAAGAGGGTAAATAAGAGCATGAGGATATTCTGAACCAACTAAAACAAGTAATTCTGTAAGAATAGTTCTTGCAAGTTTAGCCGTAATACCTATTCGTGCTACAAGTTGAGGAATAACATTAAGCCAAACGCAAACTGGAACTTTACTAATACCTTCCTTTATCACATCATTTACCTCTTTTACCGTACTATATGAAAACCAAATAGAAAGTATACGAAGTACATCTTCCATAACACCATTAGTTTGACTCTTTGATAATTTCACAGAGTTAAAAAGTGCTGAAATAGAATTTACATGATGTTCTGTTTGAACTTCTAATGGTGTATTAGGATCACGGGAAAGATCATGATGTAAAATACCTAAAGAGTGAAATGCTGCATAACTTTTAGGACTTAATTCTGTTGCCCTTTTAAGTTTTTCAATTGCCTCATTTCCTCTTTCAGGAAATAGATGCATAGTCCATTCTCCTAATAATAACCAACAAGATCCCCATGCTTCTGCACGATCATCACCAGGAGAAACTTTTACACCGGTAAGAATATCAGATAAAAGAGTAAAAGTTTCATGTTTATTATCTGTAGCATAACAATGTTTCATATAAGCATGAATAACATCAGGATCTCGATGACATAAAGTTTCTGATCCTCTGTTAGGTCCTAAAAGTAAATTTAACATATGATTTCCCAGAGAAGTCCATTGTGATTTGGATAAAGTACGTATACAAACAATTTGTGAAGTTAAATCTTCTTCAGGTGAAAGTACAAGAGAGTTAATCGTAACAAGTGTTTTCACATGAGCAGGACGTGAAGACATATGCATTAAACGTCTTTGCCATAACTCTCTTAACATATTTCGGCGCTCATTATCAGAAGTAACAAAAGAAACAAGTTCTTCAAAATGTCTTAAATGTTGTAATTGTACCAAAGTATCATAAGAACGATTATAACTTTCCATAAGAGATTCTGAAAAAGGATCAAAAAGAGATTCTCTTCGTTCTTCTACAAATTTAAGAAGTTCCTGGTATCGTTGTTGACGAAAAAGTGCCGCACAATGTTCAACCATTTCTAATCGTTCAACTACAGCAGGTTGTTCTATTAATTCATCAAATTGACGCCATTTACCTAAAGAGAGTGCAGCCTTTGCTTTTAATGGAGCCACTTCAAGTCTAGAGTTGTGATCTAATTTATCCCAATTGACATTAATGTGTTCCTCCATCGTAACAGTCTCTCCAAGAGCATCGTAACAACGTAAAGTCCCTAAGAAAGAAGATACATCCAATGAACCATCTGTATTCGTCATTCGAGACTGATAACGAATTAACGCATCTCCCCACCAATTTAATTGTTCCAGTGTACCAACTTCATCAAAACCAAATTGTTCAGGTGCAATAATATTTCCTGAAAATTTAGCGGATATTTTTTTTACTAGTCCTTCAGCCACCATCGTTAATCCAAGATGTCCATAGAAACCAATGAGTCGTTCCGCTACTTCTAATGCTCGACGTACAGCAGCATCTTGACGACCCGAAACTTGATCTCCCAATTCACTGAAAAGTTGGTCAAAAAGAACTTCATTAAGAAAAATAGCTTTAGCATGCATTTGGGAATCAAAAGCTACACGAGCTAAAACATCAATATCCATAAGTGGTTTAGATTCCAATTTTTGTCGTTCTTCAACTTCATAAGAGAGTAAGAGTTCAATCTTATTAAGACCTTTAATAGTTGCAACAATTTCATTTACAGCAGTTATTTTTTTTCCATTAATAGAAATAAGAATAGCACCAACAGGAACTCCTGCTCTTGCACCAGGTCCATTAGGTTCTAATTTGGTAACTACTATATCTCCTCCACTTTGATCATAGTTAATACCAAATTTTCTTTGAACATCTTCACGTTCTACAACGCAAACTCTGGATTCTATCCTCTTAACAAGTTTAGTTTCCTCTTTTCCACGTTCTGATTCTAAAAATTCTTCAAATGCGAAAAGAACTTGTTTAATATCATTTGGTGACATTTCTGCTGCACGTGTAAAAGTATTCATCACAAGTGTCCGTTGTGCTTTATCTAATTGAGTAATAAAAGCCGCTGCTGCAAATGAAAAAAGATCACGTGAAAGATCAATATTATTATCAGCTAATACAGTTGTAGAACGTAAAGGTTGAATTGGAGAATTTTTTAACATAGCTACTGATGTATTATGTAACCAGGCAATCCACGATTGTTCACGTTTTTTCTTATTAGCAGATGGAATAGTTGATATTTTCCGTAAAAGATCCTCATCTACTTTACACTCTGTTGTTTGTGTTTGATCTAACTTAAGAATACCCAAATTACGTCTTAAGGTTGATTGTATCTCTTGCGCTTTCCTTGTAAAAGAGTGAAAATTTAATGCAGAATCTTCGCTTTGAAAAAAACGGAAGTGAATAATCGTTTGCCCAGTTGGATGAGAAACGCCCATAACTTCAAAGTCATTACGACCCAAGTGTAGTGCATTCATCATTTCATCCTCAAAATCTTTTCTTGATAATCCTGGTAGATGTGAAATAACACTAAGAGGTAATTGGGGATTGAGTTTATCATGCTTACTCGCAGGTACACGAACCTTTAAAAAACCTTGTGCAGCAGACTGAATTAACTCTTTGAAAAATGTCTCTGGGTAACCTTTTTTCTTTGCAAGAAGTTGAATAGGACGAATAAACCTTCTAGCAGGATGTTTTACAACTTCTACAAGGAAAGCAAGTGTATTAAATCCCATTTCCATCTCATCTCGGCTTTGAGCATTTCCAATATACCATAAAATGGTGTGAACAATTTCAGCACAACAATCTTTCACTAAAGATGATTGTTTTAACATAATCTGATTAAGAAAATCAAGACATGCTGTATTAATCTCCTTTGTTTTAGCTCCAGATGTACTGGAAATTGAATCTACTGGATCTATACATTGGAGAACATGTGGTAATACCACTTGAAGATCTTTTTCATGTAATACCTCTAAAAAAGAATCAAGTGATTTTACAGCACGAAGAACCAGAGCAAGATCTTGTTTATCTTGTGATAGACATTGATGAATAAATTCAACTGCCCATCTATGATCACGCATTTCTTGAGCAGAAAGTCCACGAGCAACTTCATCTAATAATTCTACAACACCAGCATTAAGAGGAGCTTGAGAAGCTTGTGGAAGTGCACAAAAGAGACGTACAGATTTAAGAAGTTCAGAACCTGTATTAGGTCCTATAATTTCCTTATATTGTCTCAATAAAGATGCTAATTCTGTCATAAGAAGAAGAATACCTTCATATAAATGGGCCTTCTCAGGTTCAACTAACCATGTTTGAAGTTGTGGAAGAAACTGGGTAAGTAAAACCGCTTTTTGTTTTCCAGAAGCTTCACGTATCATAGAATTTATAGTAGCAATAGTATCTGCTTGTTGTTCAGAATCTGCAGATTGTTGAAGAGTTTTTACTAAAAAATATAAAACAATAGATGGGTATCGGTCATCCATCTGGGGATGTGCACGCATACGTGGTTTATAATGTGCTAAACCTGGAGTTACCACTTCTTCTTCTTCTTCAATTTCATCTTCTTGAAGAGTTTCTAAAAGTCCACGAATTCTTATTGGGTTTACAGCCCCAATAACACTAAGAGCACGTACTGCTTCATAATTAACACTTTCATCCTCTTCTGCTTCAGATCTTATAATACGAGTAAGAGCACGGTACACATCTAAGTAAGTAGCTTGATCTGAAATAGATATAGTAGTTAAAACCGAACACAATGTTTCAAGAGCTGCTTTACGACGCTTAGAAGAAGTACTAACATTTACAATACTAATAACAGGTTGAAGAATTTGTCTGGCATCACAATGATTTTGTGGGCCTGTATGATCCAAAACGGCTTTTAACAAATTTAAAAGAGCAATAGAAAAACTCTTACATGCAAATGAATGTGTCTCTAATCTTGCTAATACAATAGTTTCTACTGTCATTGGTTGAAGTAAGAGTGCATTATGTTCTATTACCATTTGTAGTAGAGATGCGAGATAGGTGGCGGTAAACATAGAACCATCCTTTGCCTCAATCTCACGAAGCATATACTCCTGTAGTTGTAAAAGATGTGGATGCACAAAGGCAGGGTGACACGGCATAAGTCTACATAAAAGGACGAGAGTACGATCACGTGCTTGTCTACAGACATCTTTTCGTGCCATAAAGAGTGCATCTAAATTATCTGGTAGGGCGAGATAGGCATCAAAGACGGGTTCGAGACTACAGAGAACGTCGTAGCGTATATCCGCGTCTGGGTCTGCCACGGCGACATCCAACAACCGGCCGGTCGCTGCGGCCACATCGGCGTTGATGCGATGTGTCGGGGCCCGTCCCTCGTGCGGGCCGTCGCCGCGGCGGAGAAGCGCCTCGCAGAGGGCCACGACTGCCGCAACGGCCTCCCGCCGCACGCCGACGTTCTCGTGGAACATCAACTCGACGGCCTCGTGGAGTTGGGCGGTGCGGCGCAGCGTCGCGACGAGCGGGAGGGCGCGGCGGATGACTTCGACCGTCTGGCCGGGCGAAAGATCGAGCGGGAGGGCCGCGAAGCGCTCGCGGATGTGCGGGCGGCGGTCGCCGAGGAATCGCAGGAGGGCGTTCACTTTCTGCAGATCCGCCCACCGCATGTCATTAGCGCTAATATCCAGCAAGTCGTAAATGGGGGAGAAATAAATATCTCCACTCCCTGCGCGAAGTCGTTCCAGCGTGTCAAAGGCGATTGGATGAAATGGAAATGTAATAATAAATACTCGAATAGTATTCACAGCAGATTCAACGTATGGTATTATTTTCATATATCCCGAAATATCGTAAAAAGTAGTAAGAGCAGATAAAGCGACTTCTTCTTCAGCATCAGATATATAAGACAAAAAACATTGCATAATCTTATCATAGAATTGTTCATTCTTTGTAAATAAACAAAGTATCTTTCCAGTAGATTGAGCCACCATCACCCGAACATTTTTTGAATAATTTTTCCAATCACGTTCAATAAAAAATGAACTAATTGTTTTTAATGACCAAGGCACCCCTCCTTGTAATATAGGTGAAGATGCTATAGTTTTTACAGCTGTTAGTACACCAATAATAGGTTCTTCTTCAGAGACTATCTTCATATAATCTGATAATATATCAGACATTTTTGTAGCCTCTGATGCAACTAATTCAATGCAATGATTTTCCATAATGTTTTTAAGCAAACTTGATAAAGCATGACGATGCCACATAGAAGAACTCTCAATAATTTCCTTTAACAACAAAAAAGGCTTACATGATGAATTAAGAGAATCCAAAAGAGGAGGATGCCTCTTAACTACACCTGAACTAGTTTCTACTATGGTTGCAAGTATTTGCCATCCTATAGCCTTTCGTTGTACGGATCTTTCACTTCGAAGTTCCGATATTGCACTATTAAGGTGTTTACCAAGTAAATCAGATGTAGAACGTACGTTTTCTTGTAAAACTTCACCAAATTCATGCAGAATAGCAGTGCATGCTTCTTCACTTTTTGCACTTAATGCCTGTCGCATAAGAAGTTGAAGACATCGAGAACGCTCTTCATGTTGATCACCAACATGCACATCAAATACAACACGAAGAGCTAGAATACCTCTTTCAATAGAAACACCAAATGTATCCCCTACAAGTTGAAAAAGATAATCCATAAAGGTATGCTCACTCACCTCTTTGATATGTGCGACCAGAAGATCCAAAAGGGCAGAGAGACACTCATCTACACGGCGACGACGATTGTCGGGTGCAGTCTGCAAATTAAGAAATATTATTGAAAACTGTCGCCCTAGCGGCGATGTGCTTTCGCTAAAAAAACGACTAGAGGCAGCATCTACTACATCCGTCATCCGCTGTTACACGACTATACTCTTCTCCTATATAAATAAAGAAGAAATGAAAAAAAAAAAAATCAATCTTATTGATTCTTCTCTCTACTTTTACTTCAAATACGTTTCCTCGCTTATTGGCGTGTTTTCCAGACAGATGGACCCCTACCCACTAGTAATAATGTTATAAAAATAAAATAAGAGGCGGGTGGAGAGTAGGCATAATAATACCAATATAATAATAATAATAATAATAATAATAATAATAATAATAATAATAATAATAATAATAATAATAATACCAATAATAATGGGTTTTAAGGTAGGTCAAAACATTCAGTAAAAAGAGGTAATAAATGACTTCACATCGTTTTATTTTGTTTTCATAGAGCAAAAGTAACTAGTGTAATACAAAAGGAAAAGAAGAAAAAAAAAAAAAACTGAAAAAAAAGAGGAGAATAAAAACAGACTGCGGTTTCTGTAAACAGAAACACAGAAAAAAAAAAGTTGTGGAAGGGTCTTCTTCGCTACTCTCATTCATTTTTTACTTCTATTCTTTCTTTTTTTTATCCTGTTTCTTTTGATTCATCACTTTCATGAGATTAACTTAACCTCAATATAAAAACTCTAGATGAGTTAAACACATCAAAAAGAGCTGAAAACAATTTACACATCATCCAAAACTCAAAGAAAACAGAAAAATAAAGAGGCAACTACTATAAAAAGAAGAAAAAAGAAAAAACTCACTTGAAATCAAACCCTGTGAATATCGTTTTACTTGATATGTTCAGTACCGGTTTAGAAATCTGCGAGGGAAGCGTTATTCCCGTAAACTTGACATTAAATAGAGGTATGCAAACATCATTAAGAAACCAAGAGAGTTTATTGTAGAGTTCCGTAACATTTATTGGGTGAATATTTGTTTTTAATACGTTAAGTGTAATATTCACATTGGTCAAGTTAAAGATTAATCTCTCATCTTTAGTCAATTCAAGATTCTTTACACCCCCTGTAAAATTCACCAACATCTCTATTACGGGAATCACATCACCTGATAGAGGTATCATACTTAAACCAACAAAACCATTCGTAACGTGAACAATGGAAGATTGGTTTAAATTCAGTTCTACCAAAGGTGGAATTTTTGCATCAAACCTTACGGAAAAGGGACAATTTGGACAATATTTGTATACCTCAGGGTAGATAGATTCAATTAGTGAAGAATCGTATTCCGAGGGTAATGCTATTGTTTGATTAAGTTTACCAATGCTGCGAAGGTAGCGTACAAAATTGTTTATTGTGATTTCACTGAAGAGCAGTCCAAAATCTGTTTGAGGATGATGCGGTTCATTTCGATATAATCTCTTTGGGAATTGGGTATTAAAATCTGACGTTTTTGGATTTAATTTCATTTCAAATATTATTCTTTCAAATGTAATATCCGGATCCTTAGTGAATAGGACCGGAAGACTGTCAAGGAAATCCCTTGCTTTATTTTCTACAAGTGGACCCACTTTCTCTGGGACCTCTTTTTTCATTGTTTTTGCAATGAAATCATCAAGATTACCAAGTAGAGCGGCAATTATCTTTTCCATAAAACTACATCCTGTCCCTTCAAGTGTGTGATGGGTCTGTATATTCTTCCAAGAAATATTCGTTTCCATAACCTTCAACCGTAGAGATCCATTTACGAGACGATGTGTAGTTAACAACACTTTTGCGTCCGTAATGTTAATGACAGCCCGGACTTTTCCATCGCAAGTGAGTAAAGGTGTTTTTAAAACAAATCCAATGTCTGGCATTACAAGATTGATGTCCTCAATAGAAAGAAATAAATTATTAGGACTCGACATGTCCAATGATGCATCACCCACTTTCAGCTGAGTAAAGTGAATCGTGTTAATATCAACCCAATCCGTTTGTTGTGGTGGGATAGTAAGGTTTTCTAGAAAAATATTTACAAACGGGATAATCATTGGGATGGTATTGGTAAAAAAGTTTTTCTTGAGGGATAATATAATATTATCACTAGGTTCTTCTGAATGTATTTCATCAGGAGTAAAAAGAATAGGCCAGGCCAGAGTTGTATCGATCATGCTAAATGATGCAAGAATCAATAGGAAAAAAACACATACATTCAAACGGAACATGACTTAAATACAATACTACTAATACTACTACTACTAATAATAATAATTGTATTCTCTACTTACTTATTATTCAAAGCACTAAGAGAGAAAAACACACAGAATCACCCGATCACAGAAGAAATGAAATCAAAAAAAAAAAAAAAAAGTGTTTGTGGAAAATAAATAATTAGAAACAATAAGAGTACCAAAAAATAGGATAAATTAATCCATTATAAATAAATAAATATATATATATATAAATATATATAATAGGCATACACTATTTTCAGGCACAATACTTAAAAGCGCATTCGTCTTGTGCCTCTCGTTTTCAATAAGGAAGAAAGAAAGAAAGAAAAAACAAAGCGAAAGAAACATGTATTCTGAGATGTAGTATCTCATGTTCCCCCTTGATAAGACAATGGATGTTCACCACCATAACTTCTAGACGAAAAAACCCTCTGTGGTGAGTATAAAAGCCCTCTACTTATCATAGTACTCCCATCCCTTGATAATGAATGTGAAGAAGGGAGTAAGAGTTCCATGAGTGAGGTGTCAACAGACAATAAGCGGGAGACATCGGCAGTCGCTAAATCATCTGAAGCTCGCATTGCTGCTACAAGGCGCTGTACAACACCTGCAAGAAGTCGCAGAGAATCATCTTGTGCAGTTGGAGAAATATAATCTTCTAAAAGAATTGCATGCATCGGTTGCCTCTGAATGGAACGTGGACTGTTCTCAAGCATCAAAACGCGGTTGAGTGGTCTCCCTAAGAGGGCTAAATCCTTTACACTTTCGCTATCTTCATGAAACCAACGACGATGACGACTAATTATATGATGATACCAATCACGTCGCTGTGATACCGTCGCCACGGCACGGATGACACTATTCACGTGCGCTGGTGATCCCGCTGACCACACCACCACTTCACAACCCTCCGCGTGGCAGACGTCGAGGAACTCCTTCACGTGCGGTCGGGGATGCACACCGTCCCTGCGGGCGGCAACAAGAGTTTCGTCCAAATCCAACACAATGCAAAGCGGCGCCTCCGGTAGACCCTTGTCGCGCGGCAATAACAACCGGCGACGGCGACGAAGAACACGGCGTGGTAACATCGACTCTGCAAGTGTCAATCCTATCAATGGGGCTGTTGTAGGTGTTGGTGTGGATGTAGGTGTGAATTTACTTGTTGTTGTTGTTGTTGTTGTTGTGCTGGTTCCTGTTGGTGGGGTACTTTTGCGTGCGTGTCGCATACGCCTTGCCGCTGGTCTGACGCTTGCCGCATGGAGGAACGGCGCCACTGCGTGAATGATGTCTACTTCACCATAATACCCGGAGGCATCATCACCCGAGTCATCACTGCCAAGAAGAAACTCTTGAATTGCATCATTCAGTACATCAAAGTCGGATAGCACTGAACTCTCTGCCCCTTCTTCCTCTTCCTCCAGCACCGTCACAGCAGCCACAGTAGTATTAGTATTGCTGTTCATATTAGTATAATCAGTATTAGTAATGGAGGAAAAGGATGAGGGAGGGGGGTAAACGGAATGTCTATGATGCGATCTCCGTCTTCGCAAGGCCGTCCGGCGATGAGAAGAGGGGGTGACAGATTGCACACGCCGTATGGGACGCTCACTCATTTCTACAAGTGAGAAAAGACGCTAATGGTATCAGCAACGACAACAAGAGTTACAAACAAACACACACACACAAACAGTCACAGAGTGGAAAATATAAAAGTAAAGTAAAAAAAAAAAAAAGAAAACCTGCTCGTGTTACAATTACTTTCTTTGATGCAGTCCCCCTTTCAAGTTGTACATACCACAACCTTACCCATGCATGTAAATACGAAAACAAAAAGAGACACATTAACGAAGAAACAAAGAGGGATATGTGCGAAAGAGAAAAGAAAACAAAGAGAGAGCAAGAAGGGAAAAGCAAAACCCTACAAGATGGCAGAAAAACAAAAAAAAAGAACAGAAAATCTCAAACAGAAAAAAAAAGTAAGAGGTGACAATAGAAAAATACAGAAAAAAAAAAAGAGGGTAACTCTCTCATATAGTCCTTCTCTTTTTCTTTTCTTCTCCAGGACCCTAACCTTGGGTCAGTAATGTGTAGCACTCCTTGGGTAAATTCATTCATATATATATATACCCACTTCCATCTCCATATTCTGCAATATGAAGTCTCATTTGGTGAAAATACCTTCTTCCTCCAATTCTCTCCGCCTGATGCGCTCATCGCGCGCCTCAATCTTTTTCTGGTCCTCTGTCGCCACATCATATGGGTTACCACGGAGACGATAACGTGGGTTGACAGCATTCACTTTACACAATGTCCAATTTCGCCTCTCCAAAAAACATTCACTAGCCGCAATACAGTCCTCTACGTTCCCTTTTTCCTCGAAGCATTTTGTCCCGACGATACACTCAATGAACGCATTCTTTGGTCGCCAGCAAATACTCTTATGTTCCTTCTCCATACTAAACACACCCTATCTGAACCCATTGTGATAATACATGTATGTATTGTATATAAAGTATGTTTGAGGTAGGAAGGGCAATAAAATAAAAAAAAAAATAGAGGAAAAAAAGTCAATAATAAAACACTCGTAACACTCTCTGAGACCGCAGCAAGTAAAAAAAAACAAAAAAAATTTAATACCCAGTGCTTCTGCTGCACTACTATTTTCTCATGTGAGGCATGCCTAGCCACAGAGGTAGATATATATACACACATACACAAACACAGGTAACGAACCACAAAAAAAAAAAAAAGCCCCCTGTTTTATCCACCATTTGCACAATTTGTTGGGACAGAAGGAAAAAAAAAAGAGAATCTTGTATTAAGATCAATGATAATTAATGGTATGAAACTGAAATGAGAAAAAAAGAAAGAAAGAAAGAAAGAAAGAACTAGGGGGGAAAGAAGGCAAAGGGAGAAACCTACCCAATCCCCACCCCCCACCCCAAATACCCTCATAGTTCCACCCTTGTAATCACATCATCTTTAAATCTTGCCGTTTTGTTGATCAAGAAATTATCACCACTAACCAGACATCAAGTGCAATTTCTGATAGATAGTTTAATTTTCATAAACAATATACAAAGAGAAGGAAAATTTCCTTTTATGGTAGTAACACCTCTATCGGTGATTTTGGAAACGTTACACGGACAGTCGTTCCTTCACCGATGCTCGTATATAGGTCAATCCTTCCTCCCCATAAGTCCATATACACCTTAGAAGCGGGTAAACCGACACCAAAACCTCCCATGGGGTTTCCCAGTGAGGTGTTTGTCGTCCAGCCAAAGAGCCAAATATCCTTCACAGCCTCAGGAGGTATACCACCGGCCTTATCTGTTACATCTACCACAACATGAGTATCACTGATGGCAAAGTTTACCTGGAGTTCAACATCAAGTGTTTGCTTTAGTCTTGCTACACAAGCGTTCTTAATAAGTTCTCGAAAGACATACTCTAGGTGTCCCTCCACAGAGTATACCCACTCTGAAAGTGGTGGAGTTGGTAACAAATTTTTTGGTACTATCGGGGCAACTTCACTGCTTGACGTTAACAATGGCCATTGGGGTGCTTGTGTCAGTAATTCTGGACGTTCATCCACGTTGATTATTAGAGAGCCACCACATAAAGATTGAACTGCACGTGTGTAAAGCTCAACAACTACAGTACATGTTTGCTCTAATATGCAACCCATTCCATGGTCTTCACGAATTACTGGAGAATATCGTCTTGGTCCAACTAGGTGAAGAAGATGTTCGTGAAGAACACGCCAAGAAACACGGCGTCGGCAAAAACAAGATAGCCAACTATTAAGAACAGGAGAACGTATACATTCTTCATTAACGACAACTTCAAGCATATTTTCATGAGGACGAAGATTTTCTAAGGCATCGATAAAATGGGCCAGAGATGAACTAGTCCTACTCGTTTCTCCTCTCATTATATTATCCACCCATGCATCATCGCTAATTTCATTAGGAAGAGGAGTATCAATATCACTTATTTCACCTCGTTCTAGTTCACCAAGGTATATTTCTGCAGCTTCACTTAAAGCCACACATAGGTCAAACTCTCTCTTGCATATAGATTCTAGTGATTTCAGTCGAAGACTAGTTTCTCCATCCAGACTTTGTTTTACAACATCACTAGAAAAAGCACGGTAACTACGTGCAGTACGAGCACCAAGCTGCTCTACTGCTACACCTATCTGTTTTTTGTTTCTACCCATCATTTGACGTACATTCATGGGATGGAGAGGCGTATTTAGAAACCGCTCAAGCGCCTGCTCTGAGTGCTTCAATATGACGCCTGATGAGTGCCATCGCATGCTATTTCCTACATTAAAAAGAAAAAAGAAAGAAAAAAAAAGACAAGAAAACATCAGTTAGAATCAAAAGAAGTTCACTATGATCAAAGAAAATAAAAAATATAGGGCAATTAGCATCAAGCACACACAGAGAGAGAGAGAGAGAGAAAGACAAACATACATGTCCATACACATAGACACGCATGTAGAGAGATTCAAAAAAAAAAAAAAAAGTCTCTTTCCAACTCCAAAGGTTGGACGTGATCATCAGGAGTACCACATCACCAATATTGATAACTATATCAGAATACATGAGAGTTCAAAAAAAAAAAAAAAGCAAGAAAATCAAAAAAAAAAGATAAACAATAACAAATAAAGTGAAAAAAGAAATCCTTTCCTTTTACTTAAATTACCGCCTTTTGGTCCTAAGACTCTGGCGATATGCTGCTCTGCCTTCTTCTCTCTCTCGTGCCAATACTTGTTCCTCATCAGCCCATAAACGTGCCTCATCTGCTAAATGTTGTTGGACAACTTCATCATGCCACTCCATCGTCCGCCTGGTACGCTCACGACAGCGAACAAGGTTGAGCTCTTTCTTCTCCAGTATAGCTAAATTTTCGAACCCCAACGCCCAGGCGTCAATAATAGTGTGACGTATCTCATCATGTAGTCGGTACATTTCCTTCACCTCATCTTCTCTCTTCTTTTTTAAGGACAAACGTGATTCTCGTTCCGCCTCTGCACGATGAAAAGCAGAAAGGGCTATGTTTGCAGCAATTAGTTCCCCATCAACACGAATATACGGCGAGGCCAACTGCATCGCTTCAGTTTTTGATTTATATGAACCTTTACCCTCCCTACAAGAAGAAGAAGATTGTGTATTACTTTCAGCCCTTCCTTTCTCTAATTCCAACTCATGACGGCACCAAAGTAGAGTACAGTCCGCCAAATGGACTCCAGCGGCCTCTACATTTCGTCTCATTCCTTTCCTTTTTTTTTTGTTGTTGGCAATAGCAAGAAAAAACAAGAGCGCATTTTTTTTTTTTTTTAATTGTTACCAAGAAGATGGCATAAAAAAAAAATAATAATAATAATAAAAAGAGTTTTATAATCAATTGGGAGATTTCCACGTGAGGAAAGAAATCTCACAATTTCCAAGATAGAGAACGCCTAAAAAAGGTTTGGTAATGCTCGATCCGTCACATCCAATGCCTAAGTACACACACAGAGATAAAGAAAACAGATAACGAAACACTAAAATTGGGGACACAGAGTAAAAGATAAATATTCGGTAGTCCTAACAGTAATATATATATATATATATATATATATATATATATGCAATTTGCTTATTGAAGAAACACGTTATCGTACGAGTCTCCACATTCTTCTTTGGAACACATAAATCCCTTTTCTTGTACTGTTCCAAATAAAATACTATAAACTTCCTTTAAATTTCGTTCAGCCAAAATATTGGATGATGAAATCACAATACGCCAATACATAGTTTTACCATTTGGTTGCTTCCACTCTTCTACCCGCAACTCAACATCCATTGGAATGGAATCGTAATAGAGGTCGGCAGAAAAGTTTGTAAAATAATGAATAGGTTTGGTCTCTAACATACGTGGCGGTGCTACTAAAACGTTAAATCCTGGAAATAATGACTGTAATTGCGGAAATGTAGTGATCCTTTCCTTATCTTTCGTAATAACGCTTGCCTCATAGAGAAAAGTTCTTGCACCGTTAGCCATCACTGCCTTCACATGGTAAGAGACACGTTCGTAATCGACGTTTGGCAGTGCCTCCATGGAGATTGTCCGCTGTGACCCGCAGAGTGCGCTATCGATGTTCCGCAGCTGCCACAGCACCTCTGCGCCTGTGATGGTTCGCAGGAGTCGAAAGCCGGCGGCGGCGAGTGTGTGGGCGGTGGTGTCGAGGGCGTTGAGTTGATGGCCGTCGGGCGGGGCGGGGGGGCCGTCGGTGGGAACGGCTTGAACCCCCCGCTGCCGCAGCGCTGCGACGAGCTCCGCGGCGATCGTCCCGTCGGCGGCCGCCGGGTGGGCGAAGACGACCCGCACCGCCGCGTGGGCCCGCGCCTGGCAGTCGACCTGCCGCGTCTGCACGGAGGCGATCAGCAGCACGAAGGCCACCGCGAAGACGGAGAAGACGAGCAGAAAAGTCATCAGACGCCGCTGCACCAGCAGAGCCTCGCGGTGATTGTACACCGGCAACGCCTCACCATGGTGGCCCATGATCTTCAGTTTCCAGATGATTTCTCCCCACACACACACACACACAGAAGGCAGGGCAGAAAAAAAGAAATAAAAAGAGAAGAAAAAAGGAAAGAAAAACACGATAGGAGAGTTTAACACGGAAAGAAAAAAAAAAAAAACATTGCTTTAAAAAGCATCAGGAACAGAAAAACAGGAAGAAAAACAACAACAACAACAAGAATGCATTCAAGTAACCAAAATACGCAGTTCTACAGAATTTTAAACTGCTAAGAAGATACATCATGGTCTAGCGAATAAGCAATATTCTAGATATACATGTTATATGTTGCTTACATCATTGTTTTGAATGTTCCAAAGCCACTCTTTTCTTTTTTTTTTTCTATTTTTCCCCCCTTTCTTTTTGTGGAGTTGCAGCATACGCAACAATGCCTCATGTCGTAATTTTGTATATATATTTTTTTTTTCAGCATTGCATTTTTTTTTTTGTTTTTTTTTTTTTTTTTTCGTTCTCATGGCAGAAACAAAAGAGTAAACAAAACCAATAAAATGATACGTACGAAGTCGAACCAAAATAAAAACAATAAAAAGAAAAAAAAAAAAAATGAATGCAAGACCAAGAGTTGGGTTGACTAGAATTCAATTAATCATCTGAGTCGAGGATAAGTGCGACGGATTCTAGTGTCCAGATAGATGCGTGAGCATCTGTAGCCAAATCAGCCTCAAAAACAAGACCCACACCTGCCGCGTTACGTCGGTCAGAAGTAACATAGACGGGTGTCTTAAATACAGAGACTGAATTAACCTTTGAAGACTCTGTTGGAACGATCTGCATTACCGGCATTTCTGAAATTAACTCCTTCTTCCTCTGTGGCGCAAGAACATGTTTCTTCGTATCCCATCGTGCACCCTCAATGTACAATCCTGTCACATAGGCCCCATCCTTCGGTCGTTCCTGCACCTCTTGTGGGGTCATAAAAGAAGTCACTGTTGTGACCACAGAGGAACGATCTAAAGGCCATTTATACCGTCTGCAAGTAACCTGAACAAGTGCAGAAATGTATGATTCTGGTACCATAAGACCTGATAACCACATACATTTAGGTTCACCATTCATGGCCCAATCTGTGTATTGTTTACAGCGTCTGTGAAAATGTGCTAACCAACGTCCTAAATTCTTTCGTGTTGCTGGTGCATATCTCTTCCATGAAGCTGGAAGAAGACCATTATGTAAAGAAGACGCCAGTTCATCAAGTTCATTACTCATACCAATAGCACCAGAAAGAGCTTTTTGTAACTCTTTAAGAGATGAAACCATTACTCCTACTAATTTATTCCATCTTTCTATCTCCTGTAATAAAACAACTTGAGTAGGTTGTAAATTACTATACCCTTTCTCCTGTGCACGTTCTTTTTCTTTTCTCATAATTCTCTTACGGTCTAAAGGTTCAGGTATCTGTGATAAAATATCTTCTGCAAGTTTTAACAAGACATCTTCTCGTGATTCACTACCACTAGCTGCTGCTTTTCCTGAACGAGGCATTAATTCAATCAAACTTAACCACATACTTTCTGCCGCATTTCGTAGATATCCCGTTTCGGCGTTAGGGTGTAAACCAAATACTTCTGGTGTATTATCCTTTGGAAGAGATTCCACATGAGCCAACATTTGCTGTAATGTAACCCGTTTGTTTGGATCTGTACTGTCTGGAGGAAGACAATAATCCACCTCATCGTTTTTATAAAAATGGAATGATTGAAAGGTATCAAAGAGGAAATCACCAAAATATTCTTCAAGATATGTTTTCACTATACGTCGATCCATACTATCAGTAACACGACCTCCATACATAGCCTCACCCACAAGATAACGTAATGTATCCCATGGAATAGGATCATTATTTTGATAAGCTTTCGTCAAGTATGTATCAAGAAGACGCATAGAAACTGAAAAATCAGTTTCATTAAAATCATAAACAACATTCCAACCAATTTTACCGTATTTTCGACGTTCTTGTACAACTGCATGGAAAAAGGCTAATGTAAATACCAAAGGTCTAAAAGCACTATGCATACATGCTTCAAGTTGATCTTCTGTTACCCTAGAAAGTGTATTCTTCATGTTCATTTTAAGTCCATTTGGTGGTTCATTTACAACCTTTAATGATCTTTGTAAAATACCCATTGGAAATTCTTTACTAGGTTCTGTAGTTAACCATAAACGAAATTCTTCTAATGGTGGTGATTGATCCATTTTTTCAATAAATTTTTCAAGTTCTTTCATCCATTTCGTAAGTAAATGACAATTTTGTAGTAGAACCCATTGACCTCGAACAACACCTACTTCAACAAGTTTCATTGCTTCTTCTCCTTGACCTTGACCAAGTGAAATAGATCGTAATTTTTGAATTCCAACTTCTTTTGTAGCTAATTTAATAATCTCATCAGTTGGATTAGCCCCAGGAGAAACAATACATACAATAGGTGCAGTAGCAGAACTCTTATCCAGTACATCCTTGTAACGTAAAATTGGAGGAATAACATATTTTTCTCCAAGAAGATCACAATTGCTAATAAAGTTTGTAGCAGCGGTATAGACACGATCCACACGGAAACAACGAAGAAGACAAAGAAGTTGAAATTCAGTAATACGTTCACTATATCCACAAGGTATAATATTAGTTGGATCTTCAGGACGATCTAATGATGACCAATTACGCCATTCCTCTGGGTTATTTGTTACATCATTACAAAGATTTGAGAAAACACTACATGTAGTGGTAAGTCTACAAATATCATTCCATTGACGTGCGGTTAACCAATCTACAGGGTTTTGTGGATAATCTTTTGATGCCAAAACACAACCACGTAAAAAGAATTCTAATTCATTACGTTCCAAACGACCTTCTTGTGAAAGAAGACGAATTGCCATTTGGAAAGAAAGCATTAATTTATCCTTTTCAAATATTCCCATGCAAACATAACAATAAAGGTTATATGTAAGGGCACGAATAATATTATTCAGACGATCTTTAATTTCAAAAGAGGCATCACTCTTTGTAATAGAGTATCCAAAGACATCATGTAAAAATGCAGAAAGAGAATACTCATACATAGAGTTAATCATTGAAAGTTCTGAAATAACAAAATAAAGAACAGCACCTCTTCTAGCGGCAGGACGATATTCTTGTCTAGATATTTCTGTTACACGTGCAGTTTCTCTTGCTTGTTCAAGTTTTTGTTGTACCTCCGTTGCACTACTTTTGGTATTTTCTAATGTAGCAATAAGTTCATCATTATCAAGAATATTTCCAGTTGCCAAAGTAAGTTCACGAATTAAAGTATCTTCAAGATCTTTTAGTTGTGCACGACTTTCAGCCATAGTTTGTACAAGTTCTTCACTTTGATGTTGTAAATCACTACGTTCACTTGCCACAACATAGTTTAACAATTGACTTTCAAGACCATCCTCTGTTACACCATAGTTAATCACCATTGTTTTTCCAAACACTTCAGCTGGGTACTCTGGATTTGGTAATTTTGTACAAAGATATAATTTAAAATTAGGATCCCATACAATATCTTTATCACCTATTCGTATAACTCGTTGACCAGAGTCTTCACGGAATTGTGGATCCAGCACAGAATCTACAATAGGATCAATAAATTCATCCACACCTTCAAATAAGAATGGATTACCGTATTGAATAGCAAATTCTAACCTTTTAAGGAAATCTGAATCACTAAAAGAAGCACATTCAAATCGAGGATTAGAATTATGTTGTCGTTTAATCCAATTAACAGCTTGCATTTGAGGATCAATACAAAGAGGAAATCTTACACGTCCTGCTTTTCTACCTTTTCCAAGACTTTGCGTACTCATGGTAGTGAGAATACCATTTTGAACAGAGAGATCATCTGATGGTAAACCATCACTAGCCCATTGGGAAATAGAAACTTCATCTGTTAAGAGACGTTGAATTGCAAAATCTTCTGTAAGAGGAATATCACGTTCACGAATATCTTTAAGCCACATGGTCTCAAGTGCTTCCTGTCGATATTGGAAAGTAAAAGCCCCAAGATATGATAAAAAGGCAGCACCTGCTAAACAATCACCTACAAGACGATTACGTACATCTCCTAAAGTATATTTCTGTTGTGCCCAACGTACACGTTCAGAACCAAAACCATCCAATAATTTTCTAGCAGCGTTTAGACGACGTTCCATTAAAGCTTTTTCTTGTTGTAATTGTCTTGCCTCATTCATTCCTGCTTCAAGTTGTTCCTCAAGTCTCTGAAGACTTACGGTAAGTTCCTCAATCTCTTCTTGACATGCACTTAATTGTCGTTCAGCGTTTGCCTTAGCCTCTTGTAGTTCCCGCACACGTGCTTGTTTAGGTAACACTTCCTTAGCCGTATTCCAATAGGCTTTCATAGCCTCAACCCAAATCATTAAACCAGAAGCGGCCAAACTTACTTTTTTCAAGTCATTTGAATTAACAGGAAATTCTTTTAAAATCTTGTTAATTTCATTTATTTTACCTTGATTTAATGTTGGTGCAAGAGAATCAATATCAATTAATGATCGAATAAAGTCATTCTGTCCCATCATAATCTTTCCAGATTCCCACGTTGCTGGTACACCCTTCACAACACAAACCATACGAACGACTGCCACAACACTGACGGGTGGTTTCGCGAAGGACTTCAACTCTGTAATACTCTTTGGGTTAATATGTTTAACCGCCTCCATAGCCTCTTCAAGAGCAGGCATTGCAAGATCTAATACTTCTTGTGCTTCTGCACTTTCCTTTTCAATTTCAGCATTTTGTACACTAAGAGCTTCTTCCATTGCTATAGCCTCTGATTTACGTTTCTCATTTCTTGTTTTTTGCTCTTTAATTTCATTCGTCATACGTTCATTAATTTCCTGTTTTTCATGCAATGTAATTTCCTTCTCTGCAAGTTCTTCTTGTAGAACTTTTACATCCTCCTGAGCACGATCAAGTTTCTCCAGACCAATTGCAAATTTATTTACCAAATCATCAATTTCTTCTCGACGTGTAATAAGAAGTCTAGAGTAATTTGCCAAAAACCCTAAGAAATTCTTTGGTGTAACATAATTATGTCGTTTTAACTCGGCTTGATAACGTGCAGAGAGTTCATCTGCTGTCATGTGAACATAAACGGCATGACTGGCAATAGTACGTTTTAACTCTTCCGGTAAATCTTCATCCTGCAACATTCGTGTACCAACGGCCTCAAGTGCCTGCGATGGCCATTTTTGAAACCAATCAATAGTGGTATTATTAATAAGACTTGGGAAGTTACGACAACGCGTTCGAAGTACATCACCAGAGGGACTCATAGAAAGAACAACGTGAAGATTATCACGACAACGAGAAACAAATGCGGTCCATTTATTATCCTTTGAAGGTGCAAGTCCACTCGCCTCCACTTCTGCAGCCACACTGTTGTAAAGTGGTTCCTTCTCATCCTCTGCGAAGAGTGCAGGCACCATACCAGAAGCCAACATATTGTTAATGAGTTCAAGAAATCCTTCCTCTTTAACGTGACTATCCATAAAGAGAAAAACTACTTTCTTGTTCTCTACACCAACACGAGCATAAAGTCGTTTAAGATCTTCACGGAAAGCATCTTCATTATAATTACGTGATAACACAATTTCAAAAACATCCATTTGACATAAAGCAGATGCAAATTTTGTAAGGGATTGTTTACCACTACCACCAACACCAACGAGTAAACAATTTCCGCGTGGAAGCGAAATAACACGAGTAATACGTAATAAATGATCTAATGCCATATCAAACATAACCAAATCCATTTTCTTTGTTGGTGTATTGATATCATCCAATATAGATTCAACGAGAGTACGAGCCTTTGTATATTCAGCACCAAAATCTTCATAAATATGTAAACGTTCCAACTCGCTATCGGGTTCAAAATCTCCAAAATCTCCAAACATAAATGGTTCTGCCACTGCATAGTCTACCACATCTGGGAAATTACTTGAAATTTCTTCATGAATAAGTTTGGAAACAAATTCCTTATCACTTTGATCTGACATTCGATCCACAAATACACGAGTAATTTCATTACACCAAAGTCTTACAATATCTTTAGTTTCAACAAACTTAGATGGGGTAGCACGGCATAATCCTTCATACACTCGTGATAAATCACGTAAATTAAAAATATAATGAAATTTCGTAGGTGTTGCAGGAAGAGCAGTAACAAGTTGTTGGTATAAACGTAATGTCATGGACGTAAGAGTATTTGGAACTTCTGTTATTTCCTTTTCCATAGATTTGTATGCATCACGAAGAATTTGTCCATAAATAGTGTAAATAGATTCATCAGATGGGAATAAAATATTAAATACTGTAAATAGTGAAACAAAACGAGGATCCAGAGCATTTCGACCACCACCTGGAGGAGCCATGGCAGCAACAAATTGAGTATCTCGTACATTTTTGAAAAGTAAATCTTTTCGATCATACCATGAATGATGTTCAATAAGTAATTTCAAAAAGGCAATTGGTTGTTGTGTACCATATAAATCCACCTTGGGCATGTTAACATCATCTACAAATACGACAAGTCTTTTCTTTGCAGGGGGTCCAAGGACTGTATGTGTTCGTTTCTCTATATTATCTTCCATCGCACGTTGTGCATCAAGACTCGTAGTCCTAGAACTAAAGTTTAATTCAAGTAATATTTCTTCTAAATGAACCTCTTCATCTGAAACAGCACCTTTTTCTAGTGAACTTTGCTTTAGTTGTTTAAGATAGGCTTGAATCGTTACGGTTTTTGCAGTTCCACTTTCTCCAACAAGCATAACTGGAGTACGATTGAGAACAATCTTATTTAATAGCCACATATTTCTCTCTGTATCAACAGTTGAAACTAAAAGTGAACCAAATTTCGAATTCGGTTGCCGTACAAAAGGTTTAACAAGTATATGCCACGGTTTCCATCGATTGTCTTCAAGATCAAAGTAGTAATCATAAAGTGTTTTACGTTCTGGTAAAGATCCACTACCCACAAAACGAGTTAAGAAATTCTCACCAACATCCTGTAAATTCCATCCACTTATTTTCTTTAAAAATTTATCAAAACGTAGTCGATCTTGACTTGTAGCAATTAAAGCTCCAAAACTCCAAACACAAGAAAAGAGGAAAACACATTGTAATGCTTTAGGTTCTAATGCTACACGTTGTGGAGAAACTGTATCTAACATAGTAGTAAGTTGTCGAACCATATTAAGATCTGTAGCTGGAATCACAAGTTTTGGTGGGTCTACTACTGAATCTCCATCTAGACCATCAAACATAAAACCTACAAGTGGTCCTACATATTTATCAATTAATTCATTAAGAGTTTCCACTTCATCTTTAGGTCTCCTTATCTTCCATGAATAGATAAAAGGTTGCCAACTAAGGTTTACTGGATCAAGGAATACCATACCAACACGTGAAACAGTTGCAGGTGAAGCATACTGAAGATCTCCAACTTCAAAAAGAAGAGAACTTGTAGGTCGAAGTCTAATACGTTCTCCATTTGGAAGTGTTAATAATTTATTATCATCCATAACAGAGTTCATATCTTCTACCCATTTAGCATCTACATCACCGTCAAAAACCACATAACGACGTTCACGACTACTACCTTCATTAGGACGATTAATAGAACGGAAAATATTAGAAAATATACCATCCGTCCAACTTCGGGTTAATGGATCCATAACACCATAAAGTACAGTAGTTGGTTGTGCCTTTGGATTAATAATATATATCTTTGTGGGTAATCCAAGATCTGTCTGTGCACGACAAAGACAATCAATCACAGTAGATTTTCCTCCACCAGTAGGACCTACAACCATAGAAGTATGTCGTGTTTGCATAGTCTCATACAATTGTACCACCTTATCCACTTGTTTGGCATCCACAAAGAATCCTTTCTCTTTAAAAACTTTCTTTGCAGCACGTGAGAGATTTTCCTGTGGAGCCCTTGTTGGATCTAATCCTGGGAAAAGATCTCCAATAAGTCCCTTAAAGAGTGGTTCATCCTCTGCAACAAACTTTGGTGTATTCATATCTCGCAATGCTCGCATTAACACAGATTCCTCTGTAAGTTCTGGGGCCCCACGTTTGAGTTGTCCGGCCATGACGAGTACTGCCTTCAATGCACGCAGACCCCAGTCGTAGTGATGTTGTTTGGACAACTGTCCCCGTGCGAGTTGGTAGAGCGTAACCATCTTCTTTGCGAGTTCGCGTGCGGTGGTGAATCCCTCCGAGAAGAGCATATTCTCCGCGATGAGTTCCATGTCCGGCACGACCATCACCACTGGGCGGAAGAGGGCCTTGAGATTGTCGGGCAGCTCCACACGGCCGGCGTACCCGGGGTTCATCGTGATGAAGACCCCCACCGTCGGCACGAGGCGGATGGTGCTGTCGCCGAAGAAGAACTCCGACTCGCCCGTCTTGAGGGCACTTTGAATGCTGCGCAGCTGCTCCGACACCACCGAGAGCACAGGGAGTTCAATACGGTTGAACTCATCAAAGCAGCCCCAGGATCCAGTTTGCGAGAGACCAGAGAAGATGGTTCCCATCGCCTTGTAGTCAAGACCCTCACCACAGTTAAATACAACACATTGAATCGCCAACGCCTTCGCAAGATCTTTTACAGATTCCGTCTTGCCAGTTCCAGCAGGTCCTCCAGGAGCTCCACCAAGGTAAAAAGATAAGGCTTGAGTTAATGTCATGAAACAGCGATCGGTTAATGGCGTAATCACAAGACGACCATTTAATCCCATATATTCATAACCATAATTAAATCTACCAGTACATTGACGAATAATACAGGTATCTCCTTCACGTTCCCAGTAGAATCGTAATTGAGATTCCCAATCAAATTCCCGAGCATCTGTTACAGAATCTCGTACAAAACGATCAACAATATCACGTCCATGAACATCTACAATAATAAGTGTATTAATCTTTTTAGCGTATTGTTTTTCAATATCCCTATCCATTTCTCCTACAAGATCAATTAATTGTTGTGTAAGTTTTCCAGAAAGTTCTTTTACAGCACTCTTTTTACCTTTTTTTACTGCATTAAATGCATCTTCTACTTCAAATGTCCACCAAATCTTTGCTCCAGTAAGTGTAACCATTCCATGATACTTATTTACCCATTCCAAACGTTTCATACGTGGATAATAATAAACACCTGCTTTAACAAGGTCATGTAATGTTGAATGTGATTCTTCTAAAACAGATTGTAACCATTCTTCAACTGGTATTCCATCAACAGGTACTTGACGATCAAAGATTACCCGTTCACCTTCTTGAGATTTTACTCCACAAATAGTATCATCTTCACTACTTTTTAATAATAAACTTGCACAATTATCAAACATTTTTAACATATGATCCTGTACAGATTTTGCACCACTAGCTGCCAAAATAGAGAGAAGTTCATCATCTGAAATAAAGTAAAATCGTGGAAACATACGTCGTTTAGTTTCAAGATAGTTTGAAAGATCTTTTTGACATTCTTCAAGTTTTTCCTCCAAGTAATGGAATTCATCTAATCTTCCAGTAACATTACAAGAAATATCCACATTAGGAGTAGATGTTGTTTCATTCATAATACGAACAAATTTTTTATCCAAATCATTAAATTTAGCAGTTTCTTTAGGAAGTTGATTCGCAATATCATCACTTCCTTTAAAAATAGACTCCAAGTACTGCCATTTCATTTGTACAACAATCCATACCGTAATGACATCCCCTATGGTTGATAACTTCTTTTCCCATAGTTTCACATCATCCATAAATGGTTGAGCCCATTTTACATTAGCAATAGATTGCATTTTAAGAATATTATCATCTACGGCTTCTTGAATTTCTGAAGTATCACTTAAAACACAACAACGTACATCTCCTTTTCGAGGTTCATACGGTACAGGTGAAAATTCAGCTTTTGCCCAAAATTCTTTTACAGCAGATATATCCTTTTCAACTGCTAATTCTCTTGCTGCTCCTACAACAATGTTATCAATTTCATCTGTAAATCGGTATAATTCCATAGCAATAAAATCATCCAGGTTAATTTGTTCAATAGAGAATTGTTTACCTGTGACTCGCATTAATTCCATCCAATGGCGTTGTTTTAGTGCTGGACTCTTTAATTTAGCCAAAAGTGGTAATGAGGAATAAAAATTCAATATAACTTGTTGAACATCAGAGAAAGGATCTACATTACCGTAAGTTTTACCAAGTACACGTGCTCGTTTCACTTTCTCTTCTGTAGTAGTTTGTAAATCTTCTAAAAGAAGATCTTTCCAACTACTACGGTTCCAACGTCTTAGAATAGCCATCCATTGTTCATATAATTCATACACAGTTTCTACCTTTGTTAACTCTTCATTCAGTTGTTGTAAATGTGTATGACTTGTTAAAGGTAAACCAAAAAGTTTTTCTGCTTTTGTTAATTGATCACGTCTAGCCTGAAGTTGAGTTAAATGTTCTCGCCATTCCTTTTTAAGACGATTCCCCTCTTGTAAATCAATACCAGAACGACCAGGTCCCTTTTCATGATATTCCTGTAATACAGCTTTACACTTTTCAAGAAAATTAACCACTTCATTATGTGTATGTTCTCTAAACTGAAGTTTCTTTGGTTCTAATTCTTTTTCAGCATTATGTAATCTGGCCAGTGTACATTCCCATAAATTGTGAAGACTCATTGCTTGACTTAGTTCATCAGCATCCACCTTTACACCAAAGTGCATAATAGATTCATAAATATATTTAATTTCACTGATATCTTGTTCCACATCTAAAGAAGAAGCACGTGCATCATGCATAACCTCTAATACAAATTTTAAATCATCAATTTTTTCACAGGGTTTTTGTAAATTCTCATTAACAAGAATAATTTGTTTCAGACGTTTTTGCATACGTGCTCGAACTGTATCATTCATTTGTGCTCCTTCCATAGCAATCCATTGATGAACATGTTCTACTAATTCAGAGTAAAAAGAATTTTCATCACATCGCATAAATCCAAAATCATGTGTATGATCTTCTGCATCAAAATCTGCAATCATATTAAAATATAATTGAAATTTCGCATCATAATCAATCCAATGAAATTGACTCTTGGCTTGCTGTTCAACAGAAAGTTTCTTATCTGCAAGATAAATAAAACGGTATCTTTGAAGCATTTTAATATTTGTCGCAAGAGAAGATAAATGGGTTTGAATGGTACGGTTAATAACAGCTTGTAATTTGTATACCTGAGGAAGATTATTAATATCTTGATAATATGTAAAAAGTGTTTCATGTTCACCTTCAGGTGGTCGTGGTACCAATTCTCCTTGTGTAAATTCAATACATGTTCCCCGCATCCAACGTCGGAATCGTTGTGTAGATTCAATAATTCCTGATTGAACTTTATGGAAAGCACTTGTAATTTCTTGTTGTGGAGGTGAATACGTAGGTTCGGTTGTAAGAAATATCATTACTTTAAAAAGAGGAGGACGTCTTGTAGTAGATGAAGATCCACGGTATCCAAGCATCTTTGCAAAGGATACAAGTGAGTTTAATACCATGCGTGTTAGAGCTTTCCAAATACGATTTTCCCAATGTTGATAGTAACTTTCAAGGGCAAGACATTTTCCTGTGTGGGTTCCAACCAGTTGACTCTCTACTTTTGTTAAGAGCGGTTTCGCCGTTCGGTATGCACGTACACAGGCATCCACAAGATCTGAACGACGACGTTCAATTGTGTCTACCAGTACTTGTAACTCTGGTAATTCACCGCCTGTTTGTAGTAATTGTTCATATTCCGGCATAAGTTTAGAAGAACCAATTTTATTAACAACTTGTGTTTGAATATGATCTGCTCGTTTACGTACTTCACGACTTAAATTTCGGAATTTAGTAATAGCACGTTCACAGTTCATTACAAAATCAGGAATTCCTAAACTTGTCCAATTAATATCATGAATTCCTGGTTCTAATGCAAGTTTTAATTCTCGAATATTTTTAGCCAAAATAACACGTTCAGGACCTTCTAATGCACTTTGTAATTCATAATTAAAATTAAGTAACATTGCCTTAAGTGCATCTACATTTGTATGATAAGATTCATCTTGTAAAGTCACGTTAAGTGCTTCTTGTGGAACTTCAAACCCTAAACGATCCAAATATTTTGTTTCTCGTATCACATCAAAGAGTCCCATATCAAAGTTGGTAACATATGTATCATCTGGTCCTTTGCGTAAAATATTCATTTTAAGAGAAGCTGTCGTACTTTGTCGAACTCTTTCACTCCATTGCATAAACCGAGAAGTTGCGTATTCTTTCATTTGTCGAGCTACTTCTACATATTTCGCCCGTACTTGACGTCCCATCGTTGTTGTGAGCATTCCTTCCTGTTGAAAACGTACAATAGGTCTCTTTAAACGTTGAAAGAGTGATGTACTCCAATGAATAGAACCCGCAACCGGTGGTTGATTCTTTGTGAGTGGGGGATTATCACAGTGCTCAAGAAAGATCGCGCGAACCCGTTCAACTTCACTGAAGTACTGCGCGAGAATTCGATCAGCCTTCTCTGAGAGAAGTGAGGCGGTATCAAAGGCTTCTCCTGCCCGCTGTGGACGAGAGGCAATACACTTGAAAGAAAGAAGAAGCTCAAATGCCGATTCGGCACTACGAAGATCATCATCAAATATTTTGTTAATAAATGCAGAAACTTCATGATCCAAATTGGCAACGGTATTTACAAAATTAGAGAAAACAACCTGCCAGTTGTGTGTTGTTTTACGTTCAAAAGGATCAAAAGTAAGAGTCTCAAAAGGTCTTTTAACTTTTTCTACATCTTTTAAGATGCGTTCAATTCCAGTAGTATCAGTTAATACCGTTTTTAATTGAGCTCCAAGTACGGTGGTATAGTATTCCATTGTTTCTATTATTTCCAATAAATCTGTACAACGGTCAGACATATAATCAGTAGTTTCAAATAACCTTTTTTGATTAAAATTCCAAGGTTGTTCACGTTCACTGCTATTAATTTCTTCTTGAACATTGATATATGTTGACTTCCATTTCAATAAACACTGTTGTCCTTCCAAAACTTTATTTTTTGCTTCTGTAAAGGGTAAGCTTAAAATTCCACGAAAATCTATATGCTGTGAAACTTTTTGAGCTATTAATTTTCCAATTTTTTCCAATAATCCTACCATTCGTTCTTCTGTACAGTAATAACGTGAAATAATCCATACCATTCGTATACCAGTCATCATAGATGATAAGGTATCAATTATAGGTTGAAGAGAACCTGTCCCTGGGGTTACACCTTGAAGAGTACGGAAATGACGATCTAATGTACCAAGAAATTTCACATTATCTTTTGCTTCTGCATATTGACGAAAAAATTGTTGAATTGTAGTAGAAATTAAATGAAAAGAATTACATTCCGCTTCTTTTGCTACTTTCAAAATAAATTTCGCTTCTGGAGAGTTAATTTGTTCATATAGTGCACTAATAGTACTATATTTTTCACGCCAATATTCAATTTCTCCTAATGGACCCTCCTTCTGAGGATCTAGTGACATAGCATAACTAATTTCTGCTTGCCATTGAGATACGGTAATATCAATCTGTTTAATAACATCTTCATTAGCTAAGGCAGATGCTAAACCAGAATCATTACAACCCATAGAAATAAGAGCTTGTGGCATTGGGAGACGTCTCTCTGCGCAAACTTGATTTCTAAAACCTGTCATTTGCATATCCACACGGTGTACCCAATTTAAGATTTCTGTGTATAAATGCTTATTGGTAACTTTTTTAGTGGCAATCGATCTACTTCGTCGAGCTGCCGCCTCCACATCCTCAACAATGGGTCTATAAGCGTATTTCAAAAGGTTATGAAATGAAGCCAATGAGGGAACCACCATACATGAGATCTCAAAAGCCCTGTGAATAGGAGACTCCAGATTTTTTTTCCAGTCTCCCACTGATTCCGGGGTTAACTGTACATGATTTACACGAACGAAGAAGATGCACCTCGTCCTATCTGGTGGGTAATTGGCTGAACCTGTGATATTTGTATTAACTAATGCCTGTGTTGTAACCATAAGCTTTGGTGTATTTTTAAGCTGTGTCTCCATAGAAACCTTAGTGCCATTCTCTCCCTCCATTACGCCTCCCTCACGTGTGTAGACCACAACGAATGGCTCTTTTTCGTTTTCAAACACGGCGAGAATCGTCGCTACTGCAACGTTGTCGGAGAGGAGTTCCTCAACGGCGCTGATCTCAATGCCGCAGAGACAACTCGTGATGCGGGAGACGAACCACGCAAGGCGCGGGTCATTCTTCGCCACGACATCTGTCGATCCGTTTCTCATTGGATTGCTACTGTTGCTGTTATTGTTAAATCATACAAAAGAAAAAAAAAAGAAAAAGAAAAAAAAGAAAGAATAATGAGAAAGAGAAATAGATAGTTACCAATGTATGAACCATTATGTATACTCTGTTACTAATAGTGGTAATAGCCCACTATAGCAGGAAAAGGAGAAATCAGTGAAAAAAAAATTTTAATAGTATTATTATTTACCATTATTTTCAACAAGGAAAAATAATAATAATAATAATAATAATAATAATAATAATAATAATAATAATAAAAGAAGAGGAGATTAACCTGTAGATGTACATATTTCCGCTTTCATTGCAATATTCCAGTGCAATGAAAAAACAAAGGTAAAGACGACATAACGACAAAAAAAAAGAAGGTATAAAGATAAAGATATCGCGCTGAAAGTAAAGAAAAAAACAAAAAAAGAAAGAAAAAAAAAAAACAAAGAAATGGTGTAGCTTAAAGAAATGATACAAGTAAACTTTCAAGGTAATTAGAGACTATAAGTTTGTACCAGAATGAATCCCTAATGAAAGGTCATATACAAACTTTTCACTGGGATCTGTCAGAACTTCATGTGCATGATTAATAAGCTTAAATCGCTCTAATGCTTCTTCTTGTGCTTGTACCGTATCCCTCACTACTCTGTCTGGATGATATATCAGAGTTAATTTCTTGAACTGTGCACGAACATCTTCCATACTGGCTCCTTTTTCCAATTCCAAAATATCATAAAGTGTAGTTACACCTGTGACCATTGGTGCCTGCTTTGTACTCTTCCCATCACTTCCCATAGAAAACTTTGGTAAAGATTCAAACTCGCTTTTTGGTTTAAAGAAATCATACCAACGTGGACGATTATTTCGTGTCCCATACATATTATGAGATGTGTTTGTCTGTTCAGGTATTGGTAAAAACTGTTCTTCATCTCCACGAAGTATATGACGTAGTGTAGGATCTAACTTTACAGCAGTAAGGCGATCTACTGCAGCCTCAGAACGTTCATTTCGCTTTTGATGTGCATCTGCACGAAGCACATAAGCTTTTGAACATTTTGGGTCAAGAGAAATAGCTGTAGTGCAATCATTAATAACCTCAAAATCCCTACCAAGATGTGCATTAGCTTCAGCTCGCATGCAAAGTAGTATACTACACATTAACGAATTTGATTTATCTAACTCCAAACCATCATGAATAATAGGAATAGCTTCTGCATATCGTTTATGTTGAAACAAAGTTGTTACCTGGGTAAGAACTTCTTCTAAAGAAACTAGATAATGACCAAGAAGAACTGCTGGACCAAAACCAGGACTAATAGCTAGACATGTTTGAAGAAGAGCTGCAGAAACTGCTAAATATTGTGTACCACAATAAACATTAATTTGTGCTAAAAGAACACAAGCTTGTAAGTAATGTTCATCTAAAGAACGATATACTGTCTTTTCCTCTAAAGACATTCCTGTTTGGGTATGTGAAGGTCTTGTAATTGTAGCAATGTATGGGATAAGACGCATACGTGCAGTGGGAGGACTTACATGTAGCAAAGCTCTTGCCTCCAATACAATTAACGGTGTTCCATCAATAAGAGGTTTAGCAGTATCCTTTACAACTAAAGATTCTTCCCATTTTTTTTCTTTAATAAAAGTTCGAAATTTTTCAAGTGCAGATATCGCTTCATATTCAGTCTGCCATTTAACACAATATGGATCTTCTGTTGAAGTTATAAAATTTTGCAACGCATAATCGTAACATTGACGTGCTTCTTGATAACGTTCACGCATAAGAAATGAACGGGAAAGAAGTGAAACAAGTTCTCGATCTAAATCAAGAGCCCTTCGACAATCTTCAATACATTCATCATATAATAATAAATGCCAACTACAGAATGCACGTTTACAATATGCCATCCTAGAACGAGTATTTTGTCTAAACGATCGAGTAAAACAAACAAACGCACCTGCATAATTTTTTAAAGAAAGTAAACGAAGACCACGTTCTTCATTTTCTGTAGAAAAACTACCCATTACTGGTTGCATATTTTCTACTTGTCGTAAAAGACGTTGTCGTTCTATTGTTTCATTAGCCATTATAAGTCTACGACAGGCTGTTTCCTCATCACATGTTCGTCGTAGAGGCAATGTCCTATCTATTGGCGCAGTCGTTAAACCACAAGAAGAGACTTGTTTGTTTACTTCTCTCTTTACTTTGGGGCGATAAGTGTATTCCCATGTTTTAGGCCCATGACGACTCAGAAAAGTCTTTCCCGCAATATCACGACCACCTTGTAGATGAGGTCCACTGCTGTATTTATTCATTTCCCCTCTCCGCAATCGAGTGTCACTTCTCCCTATTCGCGGAAGTGAGAAGGGACGATCTGTTGGCATCGTCTGTGTAAACTCATTGCGGTGGACATGTTGGTGCATCACACTGAGACATGTGCAGAAACAAGAGAAATCCACACACAAAATGCAATGCAGGAATATAAAGGCGAAGAGGAACGCAAGACTCACTTTAAGCAATGCTTCAATCCAATAAATATAAATATAAAAACACTTGCGCAGAAACTTCCTTTTCGCCTATGTGTAACAAGATAAGAAAAACAAATTAAAAAAAAAAAGAAAAAAAATTAGTTACATCAAATTTACTCATTGTAGATTAATGAAGCATCTCGAGTGATGGGGATAGAGAAACATCCCACACCACCATCACCTATGAGTCATTTTTTTTTTTTTTCTTTTAATTTCCAGAGACCGTCCTTTTGCAAGACTTCGTCCCTTTTTCTTTTCGGTTGTCTTTTTTTTTCTTTTTTATGAATTATCTCCAAACATCTCTTTTTTTTTTTAAGTCCCTTTGCTACATTCTCCCTTTCTTGCGGCTCACCATAGAAATGACACGGCACGGCACAGCAAAGCCACTACTAATCTCTTCATCAAAATGTGGACTGCAGGCACCATCTGCAAGGGAAAATACCCCAACACTCCGCCCCCTGTAGAAACCTACAAGAAAACAAAAAAGTAATAATAAAACAAAGAAAAAAAAAAAGAAAATGCAGAAGATACTTCTTCTTCTTCTTCTTCCTCTCAACTTATTTCCGCGTGCGTTTAGCGGCACGTTGCGCGCCAAATCCTTTGCCGTCTCCCCTATTATCCAACGCGTTGGACACGACCATACCCGCCTTCAGCAACGCTGGGCTCGTCCTCAGGGCGTCTGGAAGCTGAAAGAAGACAATCGTAGAGCCACGGACAAACACACTCTTTAGTTCCACTGTCCGCCCCGACTTTGTTGTCTTCTTCGCAGATGTGAGTAGCACGTTCATGTTATCCTGAATCTCGCTAAGCGTACCTGTGTAAAGCTCGCCGTTAGACACCTCCAGTGTAATCGTCGTGCCGATGGCGTCGAAGAGCACTTTCAGCGGGATGCTAAATGTGCTCATTCTCTAAAAGGGAGAAAATCGACCAAACGAACAAAACAAACGAAAACAAGAGCACGACGTGCCACACTCTGCTCTATCCTTCGGAGTACAAAAAAAAAAAAATGAAAAAAAAAGAGAAAAAAAAGAGAAAAAGAAGCATAACAACAAATTACAGAGACAACATAAATAAGATAATAATAAAAAAAAAACAAGAATATAAACTATATCTAATCAATAATGCTTTAACCCAATTACTTTCTTTTTTGTTTATTCTTTCGAGTTTCGCATGCTATCTTCTTTCCAGTTCACTTTGCTCTCACTCTTTCGCCCTTCATGGGGTTATATACTCTAGGAGTCATAAAAAAGAGGGAGGGCGAAATAAAAACTT